CCGTGGTCTCGTGTTTGTCCCGCCCTTGTCTCGTGGGATCTCCCGCGGTTATCCCGCGTGTTGTCCTCTTAGTGGTTGTCCCGCGATTTGTCCCGCGCGGTGGCGTGCGGCCGCCCCGTGGTTTGTCCCGTGGGTTGTCCCATGAATCCCATGCTTGTCCCGTGGGTTGTCCTGTGGCTATTCCGGGACGCATGCATATCGGCATGCGCATCGAATTTCAAAAAATATGCACGTTTTGATTCGAATTGGGACATCTATGTGTGTAACCCGAATGCGAATGAAAATGACAAACGACAACTACATTGAGCTTAGATCTGCAAGACCAAGATGTGACAGAAATGCAACCCAACATGAAACTCGGGATGCAACTTGACCATGCAAGACGGAATTCAAATCTACATTCGAAATGCACATCGAATTGCAAATCGATATGAGCATTGGGTACATCCGAATCCAATTAAACCTGCAACTCTGAATGCAAATCTAATGGCACATCAGGCTCGACCTACACATCGATGTGCAAACCAGAATGTGACTCGACATGCTCATCCAGTTGCCATCGAAGTACAGATCAAAGTGCGGATCGACATGCGGTCGACGCAATCGACGTGCAAACCGATCTGGAATCGAAATGGAGGACAACATGCAAATCCAATTGCGAGCGAAATGCAATTTCCCAGCCCCCCTCCCCAATCTATGTCTCACCCGAAGGCTGGTCTACGAGGTATTGTATACACAGAGTTGTGGTTATCGATCCTTGCTCTCGAGGACAATGTCCCACACAGCCGCGCGCACAAACTGGTTCAGAACAGCGAAACCACCTCTGTTCTGGACCTCCTGGTTGATCATATCCTTGTCCTTCTGCTCGGACGCGTGGGCGTGCTCAAAGTAGATGTCGCCAATGTGCGCGCCAATCTGTAGCACGGTGTCAACGGGAGCGGTGCCGGCGTTAAGCACACCTGAGCGGGTAGCAAAGTACAAGCCTTGGAATTCAGCAGTGTCCGAGTTGTCGAGGCAGTTGTCGAGGCGGTTGAAAGTTTGCAGGACCTCGAAAAGGCACCACGAGCGTTTGAGAGGCTCCGCTGTCTCTTGGATCACCATTACGGTCCCGACACATGAGGCGTTCCACAAGGCGACGAAGAATGGTGTGTCCTCAATCCGTTTATCGCCGAGCTCAAGGTGAACAGTCCATTGGTTGATACATAGAGAGCAGATCCAGTATCGGATCCGACGCCATGCTTCGGCATCACCTGAGCAATCCATCCTCTGTGCACAGCTTTGCGCGTGCCCTTGCAAACTCTGAACAAACTCTCCGAAGGGGTCGCCCCAGTAGTGGGACACGAACCAGTCGACCTTGCCACACCCAGCCACTTCTGCGTAGGATAGTCGGTCCAACTCCGTAAGTGGCTTGACCAGCTCGGGGACAACATAATACATATTGCGATCTCGAATGAGTGGGCCGAATGATTCCATCAAGTCGAGAACCTGGCCGATGCTCAGAGCCCGCTGGCCAGACATGGTCACCGCTCGCGGCTCAGAGCCCTGTGTCGAAGATCGCCCCCCGTCGACGACGTCGGGAGCGGCAGTAAGGCTGGTCGCGTTGCAGCTGTACGGTGAGGGCTGCTGGCTGTACTTGTCAAAGGTCTGTGCGAGTCGCTTCTTGAATTTGATCAACGCTGCGCCCTTGCTTGTGTGATGTCGCCGGCGAGCACGAGAGCACTCTCTCCAGAGCAGGGCGGCCGCTCCACAAGCAGAAGAGAGAGCTGCTGCCAGGCAGCTCTCACGGGCTGCGAGCGGAGTCCCGACAATCAGGGCAGCGGCTGAAGCGAGCAGCAGAGGCACGATAAGTGCCACGGTGACCTTCGACCTGCCAGTGCAAAGTATACCCATCAATACAGGCACCTCCAACCTGCCCATGGACGCGTCCACTCTTTGACAGATCGGTTTCCCGTCCGCCGTCAGTACTGCCAGCGCTGTCTTGTCAATGATCCTCACCCTGAACTGGCCCTGCCTCAATCCTCTGTCTGGAACGTCCGCGATTGTGACTGGCATGGAGCCCCCTACGAAGCGAAGTGGCCACTGTTCCAACAAGTGCGGGCCCGACGAGGTGACAACGACTGCACGGCCCTGCAAAGAGATATCGTCAATGAGAACGCTCCGCCGCACTGAGAGACTGAGCAATACCGCTGCAATTGCCAACAATGCCCCAACGACAAAGCTACTAATGATGTATGATCCGCCACCGTCCCGTAGGCATTGGGTGGAGTGTGCTCAAATCAAGTCTCTCAGAATCTTCGGTCTTGAATAAGTTAGGTTTCCTGTCGGCCCCACGCCCGGCGTTTCGGGGCGCTCTCGCGCACTCCTAGGCACTCCTTGGGATTCTCGCGTGACTTTTCCAAATGCCCCAGAAACGTGGTTTGGAATCGGCGCTTCCAACATGTCGTAAAATGGCCCCGATAGGACCTCCAGTATCGCTTGGGGAAGCCGATTTGTCCACTCGCAATTCTGATCTTAAGGACATCCAAGACGACCCAAGAGGCCACTAGGATCGCCCCAAGACGAACCCAAAACCTCAGGAGAGGACCGATAGTGAGAACTCGCACTGACAGCTGGATCCCAGACCCCCCCCAAGACGGCCCCCGAGATCACCAGCAAGCTTCCACAGGCAACAGAACGGCCCCAAGAGGCAATCAAGAAAGTCCGCAGGAGGCCCCAAAGACGCTCCCAAAAGACATCCGAGAGGCATTCAAGCCACCAAGAAGCCTACTCAAGCAAGGTGGCCGGATGGGCCGAAAGGCCACTGCATGCAGAAAACTGGCACTCTGCATCTCCTTCTGCGGTAGTCATGCCCACGGGGCACACGTTGCACTCCGTGCTTCCATAAGACGATGTGAAGGTTCCCGCGCCGCACATGACACACGAGATACCTTCCCCACTGTCGACTGCATACTCGCCTGGCCCACAGAAGTAGCAGTTGCTAGACTCAAACGCACCAGAGGCCATTGTGGTTGCGCCGTCTCCGCAGCTGGGACAGCCTGTGCTGCCGACTTGATCTGCGAACTTTCCAGCAGCACAGGACGCGCACGAAGTCTGACCGGCCGCGTGTGCGAACCTGCCCAGTGGGCATTCTTCGCACTCTGTGCTGCCCACGGTGCTCGAGAACCTGCCAGGATCGCACAACGAACACCCCGTATCGAAAGTCATGTAGCCAGCTCTACATTCGCAACTTCCAATGCTACTGACGTGCACCAAACCATCTGGACATGGCTCGCAACTGTTATTCCCATAGTTGAGGGTCAGGCCCTGGCAGTCTTGGAAGGGCGCCAAGACAGCGCTGATCCCCGTCGCCCCCGCAGGTCCAGCGAAGATGCGCTCCCCGTGCAGCTTGAACTCGAAGTGGCCCAGGCCCAGGAAAGTGAAAACACCATCGGAGCTGTACTCGGCCATTCTCAATACTACGTCGGTGGAAGACTGCAAGTGCTGCACTAGTAAGGAACCGTCTGGGTGTTTCGAGCCCTGTGGGAACCGGACGCGGCCAGAAACGCCCTCGAAGTCTGAGCTGGCGAACGCCTCTTGGATCTGGTGGTACTCCGGAGGACGACGCTCCCGGAGGTGCGTGAGAGAAACGCCCTGGCCAATTAAAACTGCATCCAATGCCAACGCATACATGCACACTGCATCGGCCATCGTGAAAGCATGCGTGACAGGATAAAAACCCAAGTCTGCAAGACCCACGTCTACAGACACAAGGTCGCCCTGGCGGCGGAGCCATTCTTCAACAAAGCTGGGTGTTGTCATGCCCTCCGAACATGACAAAGGTATGTCCGTGTCTGTTCGCTGCGTTGCAGGGCCTACTGCCACGAAGCCCCGCGCAATGCTGAGCATCTCAGACCCCGAGCACGTAACATCATAGCTCTCCATATACCATTTACCTGAGTACCATGAGAAAACCATCCAAATGAAATTGTCCAAGCCGAGCTTGTACGCCTCACAAAGCAACATTCTAGCCCGCTTTTCGTATAAGAACAGCAGCACGATGCGATTGTTCTGGTGCGCGATGCCACCAACTGTCTGTTTAGCTTCCCGCTGGGAGTCTTGTGAAAATTGGTAGCCCAGGAGACCATTTGGCAGATCCTTCTCTTCCATCCCAACCCCATCAAGGCGTACTCCTGTCTGGTCGGCAGCATCAATCAAAACCTGACCGAATGACTTCCAAGTTTCGGTATCGCCGAGTACTGTCGTGACCGATGAGAAATTGAACATTCGTGCAATCTCCAGCCACGCAGTAGGTACAAGCTTGTCTGGATGACTCGTCCTCCAGAAATTTGGATACTGCACGCCGTCACTGAGGCCAGGGAATGTGGAACTGCCTGAAACGATAGGTAAATAGGCCATGCGTGCAGTGCCGACCATGCCTTCCGACTCGGCTGAACATCCACCACCTAAAATGCCGACGGGAGCCGAAATGGTGCGTGGATCGGTGTCTTGATCGGCTCGCATCGGGCACAAGGCATCATCTCCAGTCCAGACTTCCAGGAGATCACGAACGTCCTGTCCAGAGATGGCGTCGACGCCATCAGTGTTAAGAGCTTCGAGCGGAACCCCTGGCGCGAACGCTTCGTATTCATTCCTGAACAAATTCCACAGGAGCAATTCCTGCGCCTTGTCACTCTCGCACTTTCCGTCCTGGAAGACAACTTTCAGCTCGTAACCGGGCAAGATGCCACTATGCCTGTTTATCTCATCAAGCATGAGCTCCGTCGCCGCACGCAAGGAGACGCCGCCGTTCCAGCCATTTCCAGTGAACGGCAATACAGCAGATAGCCAGATCTCGGTTTTCGGTGTCGGTGCGGGAGCGCTCGAGGTGGTGGAGCCAGCAAGATCGCCGTCCTGGAGCCCAGGGGGTGCCCCCGGAGCGCTGGAGGTTGTAGTACCAATCGGAGCACTGGCGTTGGTAGAGCCATTCGGATCGCCATGTGCTTCTCCAGGTAGGGCCTCGAATGGTTCCTCGGCGGGTGGTTGTCCTGGCGCGGGACCTGGTGCAGGTCCTGGTGCAGGTCCTGGTGCAGGTCCTTGTGCGGGTGGAGGTTCTGGTGCAGGTCCTGGTGCAGGTCCTTGTGCGGGTGGAGGTCCTGGTGCAGGTCCTGGTGCAGGTCCTTGTGGGGGTAGAGGTCCTGGTGAAGGTCCTGGTGCGGGTGAAGGTCCTGGTGCAGGTCTGGGTGCAGGTCCTGGTGAAGGTCCTGGCGCAGATCCTGGTGACTGTCCTGGTGGTGCAGGTGGTGGTTGTGGACCTGGTGACGGTCCTGACGTTTGGGCCAACACTAACGTGACAATCAATGAAATCAGAACTGCGCAGCGCATGCCCTCACGCAAACTTGCGGTCAAGCAATATGGTTTGAGCCTGACCTGTTACGAAGGGGCGGAACGAAGACGAGAAGGCGGAGGAGAAGGATACTAATAAAAAGACGACATGCAGACTGTTAAGATGCCTGGGAAGAGAAAGAGAACTCCACCACGGCGTCCCCTGGTGTGTTGAAGCGTGGTAGAATGTCAAGTGCTGTCTGGTAGGGTGTCCAAGCGACCCACCCATTTACTAGCAGACAAGTGCGTGCACCACCACCCCTCCCGAGACCACGATCCCTCGTGCATTGTTTGTTCGATGTGGAAATCTCCCTATGTGCATTGTTTGTTCGATGTGGAAATCTCCCTATGTGCATCTCATTTCCTGGCACTTCCCGCTGTGAGGAGTGAGAGAATCTTAGCCTGTTGCCGCTGGGCGCTCCCAGGCGCCGCAAGGAACGAGTATGAGCAGGTTTGAGTGTGAGTGGCAGAACGTGGGTAAACCTGGAACTTCCGAGTGGCCTGTTGGTGATCGGCGTGCGAACAGTCTGTGCGTACGGGTCCTGCGTCTGGCCACTTAAGCTGGACCCGAGCCGATCTCGATACGAGCGATCCGAGTGCGAGTGGACCCGAGTATGAGTGAAGCAGGTTGGCCAGGTCGAACGAGCCAGCGGAGGAGGAGGAGGAGGAGGAGGAGGAGGAGGAGGAGGAGGAGGAGGAGGAGGAGGAGGAGCGAGGAGGAGCGAGGAGGAGGAGCGAGGAGCGAGGAGCGAGGAGCGAGAAGCCCACTCCCACCCCTCACTCCCACGTAACCACTCCACACCCACAGGGGGAGAGGGGGGGGCACCGGCACCGACTACCACGCAAGGCCCACAGGGCCACGACCACGGGGGGGGGGGTGCTGGGTGATCCACTTCGCGAGGCCTCCGCGAGGCTAACGGGCGCACCCATCCAGAAGACAAGCGGCGATCCCATTAGCATTGGGGGGGGCGGAGCCTTGCATCAGACATCGGTATCTTCCTCCTCTGACTGGGAGGCCAAAGTCGTCAGCCTCGGAGAACGACCCGAGTCCCAGAACAGTGAAGCCGCTCCGAATCCCCACCGACTGGCCACACTTGTCCTCCTTCGAATGTGGGGCTTCTGGGCCATAGCTCGGGAGCGGCCAAGAGGGGGGTGTCCAAGAGGGGGGGGTGCAAATCATGACCGGCGGCATGTGCGCGGCCCAGCGGGGGGGCCAGGGGCGTAATGAAATAAGAAGAGGCGCCATGAAATCTGGGGAGATATCATGGCCCCCGCCATGATATCCCCCCCCCTAGTCATCACCCCCCTCTTTTCGAGAACGGGGGATTCTCAAGTGGCGGTATGGAGGCCGACGCGCGCGACGATTTACTCCCGAGGGGCGCGAGAGTGAGCGAGGGAGAAGGAGGGAGTGAGAGATAGGGAGGAGGCGGTGGAGAGATAGAGAGAAAGAGAGAGAGAGAGGTATGCGGGAGAGAGAGAGAGAGAGAGAGAAAGGAGACGCGAGGGAGAAACAGGCGAGAGAGGTAGCCCCTCCCCTCTCTCCTCCCCCTCCCCTCTCTCCTCCCCCCCCCCGACCCCCCCACCCCCCGAGCAGCACGCGGTGGCCCTTGGGGAGGGGGGGGGGGGCAAAACAAGAACACAAAAATAAATCGGCGCAGGGGGGGTGGGGTCAGACCGTTTTTTTTGTTTTGTTTCTGCCCCCCCCCCCCCAGGGCCACCCCCCCAACCCCCACCAAATTCCTCTTGTGGACGGTTTCAATTGGAATCCTTCTGCAGAGGATTTCAATAGGAATCACTGTCGAGGGAATTTCAATAGCAACCCTTCTTGTTGGATTTCAATAGGGATCCTTATGTGGCGGATTTCAATGGAAATCCGCCTGAAGATTTCAATGGAAGTCCTTATGTGGAGGAATTCAATCGGAACCCTTCTGCGGAGGATTCCAATCGGAAACGTTCCGCGGGCGTTTCCAAAAGAATCCTTGCGCGGAGGATGCTGTATGAATCGTGCTGTGGATGGTTCCAGCGGGAATCCTTCTTGCGTAGGATTTCCATACGAATCCTTCTGTGGCGGATTTGAAGAGAAATCCTTGTATGGAAGGTGTCGATGTTGACTGCTTGTGTAATTTCAATATGAACGCAACACCAAGGCAATGACAATGCACTGGTAGTGCTGTGCCAGCGCTTCACAAGTGCCAGGCCCATCGCAACACCAAGGGGGCACCAATGCTATGCTAACTTTTTGTGGGGGCGTTCACTAGGAATCAGTATGTGGAAGGTTGTCAATCAAACCAGTTGTTTGTTGAGGGTTTCAATAGGAAGGCAATGTTAATGAATGCAAGTGCTACGCTAGCTCTGCTAGCAATGCCAAGGAACACCAGTGCTATGCACTTCTACGCCATGACCGTGCCAACGTGTCGCCAGCACAATGCCGGTACAACGCCAGCACTTGGCCAGTGCAATGTCGATCCCCATTCACCGCTATCCAACACGAAAGGAATGAACCTTCTTCCCCCTTCTATGTTTTAATAGAACTCATGCTGTGGATGATTGAATAGGACTCCTGTTATGGATGATTTCGATAGGAGCCATATGATGAGAAAGTTGGTCGGAATCCTTCTATGAAGGGCTCCAATAGGAATGTGATACAATTCACGTCCAAAGCAATGTGTGTGTTATGCCAGCGTTTTGCCAGCGCAAGGCCAATGCAATGCCATGGGGCACCAGTGAACATTCGTTCCAGAGTTCAATAGAAATCCGTCTGTGGATGATTGAAGCAGGAATCCTGCTTGTTTGGGGTTTCAGTACGAACCTTTTGTGGAGGAATTGAGTTGGATTCCTTATACGCAGGGTTTCAAGGGGAACGCATGCCACCGCAATTCCAAGGCAATGCTTGTGGTGTGCCAGCGCTTTGCCAGCGCAAGGCCAATGCAATGCCAAGGGTCACCAATGAACATGCTTCCTTCTAGATTCAAATAGAAATCCGTATGTGGATGATTGAACTAGGAATCCTGCTATAGAGGGTCTAGGAGCCCTCATGTGGGGAAGTCCAACAGGAATCCTTGCACGAAGGGCTGCAATAGAAATGCGATACCTGTTCGATTACAAGGCAATGCCTGTGTTGTGCCAGCGCCCTGTCAGCGCAAGGCCAATACAATGCCCAGGGGCAACAATGAACCTTTTCTTAATATTGCAATACAGATCCTTCTGTGGAGGACTGAATCAGAAATGCTGCTATGGAGGAGTTTTGGACCCTTCCGTGGATGAATTGAATAGAAATCCTCGGATGATGGGCTTCGAGAGGGATGCAGTGCCAAATCAATTCCAAGGCAGTGCTTGTGCTATGCCAGCGCTTTGCCAGCGCAAGGCCCATGCAATGCCAAGAGGCACCAGTGAACCATGTTCCTTCTAGATTGCAATAGAAACCCTTACGTGGATGATTGAACTGAGAATCTCACTATAGAGGGTTTCAGTAAGAGTCCCCCTGCGGAGAAATTCAATAGATATCCCTGCGCGAGGGGTTTCAAGAGAAATGCAGTGTCAAGTCGATTCCAAGACAATGTCTGTGCTATGCAAGCGCTTTGCCAGCGCAAGGCCAATGCAATGCCATGGAGCACCAATGAATTCTTTGTTTTTGCAGCTTGAAATCGTAATCCTTCTGTGGAGGACTGAACTAAGAATCCTGCTATGCAGGATTCCAGTGGGAGCCTTCTGAAGAATTCAATAGGTACCCGTCTTTGAAATGCCTCGACAGTGATGCAATGCCAAATCAATTCCAAGGCTATGCGTGTGCTATGCCAACGCTTTGCCAGCACAAGGCCAGTGCGATGTCAAGGGCCACCAATGAACCGCTTGCCTTCTATATTCAATAGTTCAATAGAAATCCTCATGTGGGTGATTGACCTCGGAATCCTGCAATGGAGGATTTCAGTAGGAGCCTTCTGTGGAGGAACTCAACTGGCCGCTGGCATGCCAGTTCTATGCAAGTCCGTGCCAAGCCATTGCCAGCACAGTGCCAGTGCAATGCCAGCACGTGGTCGTTGCATGCCAATCCCGATCGATGCGGACGCAATTAATGCTATTTGTTCCCCGTTTGTCACTGGGAACCCTTCTGTGGATGATTTAGATTGGGATCTTTCAGTGGAGGAATTGGTTAGGAATCCTTTTGCGTGCGCGTGGAGAAAGGGGTTGAGCTTAGGAATCCTTCTGGTTCAGGATTCCATATAAATTGGTCTTGCAGGGGGAGGGTCACTAGGAATCCTTCTGATGGCGGGTTTCATAGGATTCCTTCTGTAGAGGTTTCAACAGAAGCCGCCAGCGCAGTTCAAGCGCAAGGCCAGCGCACTGCCGACGAAATGCAGCGCAATACCAATGCGACGCAAATCCAATGCCAAACCGCGCCACTGCAATGCCAATGGGGGTCCTCAGGGCAGAGCGCGTATACTGCGCCGACACGAGAAATACCGCAAACAACACGTCACCACCCGACCCCTTAAAAAAACACCCTTTCAACCAAAACATGTGCGCGGTGTCGAGGCGAGAATGCCAGCTTTGAGAGAATGTGCGCGGCGCCGAGGCGAGAGTGTGATTTTCTGAAAAATGGGATGCAGCAAGCTGCCACTTGAGAGTCCCCCGCACTCCTCCTTGCCGCCCCCGAATTAGCTCGGGTCGAACACGGCCGTGCGGGCCGATCCGGGCATCCCTGGAGCGCTGCCGGCGAGGCGCAGCTGCCGGAGAAACGCCCCCCGAGGCGGGAGGGCCCCCCCGGGGGGCCCACGAGAACAATGAAGCCGCTCCGAATCCCCACCGACTGACCACACTTGCCCTCCTCCGAATATATGGGGGTTCCGGGCCATGGCTCGGGTCAATCACGGCCGTGCACGGCCGATCCGAGCACCCCCGTGGAGCGCTGCCGGCGAGGCGCGGCTGCCGGAAAAAAACGCCCCCCGAGGCGGGAGGGCCCCCTCGGGGGGCCCACGGGAGAACCCCCGGAAGACGCAAGGAGCGGGGGGACACGGCTGCACTTCTGCGGTGAGGGCATTGGATGAGGAGCCACTGGGCAGGGAATCCAGGGTCTGGAAGCCAGTAAAACTCCGATCGTGGTTTGGCCACGGATATCCTCGCCGCCCTTATCGGATAAGGAGCCCTCCGGGGTCTGAAGCCTCCTGGGGACATTCCTTCACCGATGCCCCACCGTATCACTACTCCCAGGCCTCTCCCAGGGCGCGCTCTGACCAGAATCTCGAGGAGAACCCAGCCGTCGCGAAGAGGAGCCTCCAGGGACAGCGGCATGGGTGCGCTTTCCTCCCTCCTCTGAGAGCCATCCTCGGAGAACGACCCAAGCCTCAGCCCCGAGCCCCACGTAGCGAAATCCCAGACTTCCGAAGTCTTGATCGATTTGTTCAAGACGGGGCCCCTGGAGCTCTTGACCACTCCCCGGGGATCAGCGAACGCCTCCAAGCGCACAAACAACTACGCAACAAACAATGGAACAGACACGCGAAGCCTGTCAACGAACGACAGGGAACTACGAATACGTCCGAACCCTCCGAGCCCCCACCGACTCCCCAGAGATCCAACGTCGCGATTTGTTCCATACGGGGTCTCCGGCAGTCTCGACCCATTCCCCAGGACCGGTTGCTCATCCTGAGTCGTTTGTTGACGGTCCCGGGGCCCGGCGAGGGTCGCTATGAGCCTGTTTTTTAAGACTCTGGCAAGTTTACTTGCATGGACGGGAGGGGGGGGGGCTGAGCCTGAAGCAAGCCGCAAACGACTTGCACGTTCGGGGGGACCAGGAAATCACACAAGTCGAAAGACACTTGCACGCTAGTATTCGCTTGAAGAGGGGCGAGGGGGGGGGGGGGGGGCGAACGCCATGCAAGTAAACTTGCCTGAATCCAGAAAAACAAGCTCTATGAGGCCGAAAACCGAGAAAAACCTCCGTCTCGATTTTTTCAGTACGTTGGCGGTCTGGGTCGCCGCACGGCGCGGCCACCGTGCCCTTCTGGGGCCCCCGGGCGCACCAGCGCCCGCAGGCCGGCGCCGCCGCACCGCCGCTGCGCCTGGAGCAGGTCGAAGGACCTGGAGGGGCCCTGGGACAGACACGAATAAAATACACACAAATAGCAGGACTCCCAATGCTTTCCCATGTATATCCTGGGGCTTCGTCTTCCCCCCCACTTCAAATATATTTTCGCAGATTTTGGGGGAAATCGACGGTTCATTGTGTCTCTGTGTTTTGTTCCCTCCCGAGGACCGCCGGGGGCGCAGCGGCTGCTCGGCCAGGGCCCGGGAGCAGGTCCGGCTGGAGCGGAGGGGGGCCCCGGGGCGAGGCCGCGGCGGCCCTCCCCGGCGCTCTTCTCGTGCGCTCTTCTTGATGGGGGGGCTGGGACACACAAATAAGCATGGGACGCACAAAGACATACTAGTACTATATGTTCTCCTTGGAGGCGCGCGTCCGACCCTAACATATTGTATACCCATCTTGTAGTTTATCGTTTCCCGAGCGGTGTGGCCAGAAAGCGCCCACCACGACGCATATACTAGGAGATTTCTCGGTGCGCGCATCGTCCCGGGGGGGGTGACGCACATATAGTATAAGTATGTTGGGGTGACGCCGAAAACAGACACAAATAACAGGATCTCCCATACTTTCCCATATTCTCTGGGTTTTCGTCTTCGCCCCCCCCCCCCCCCCCCCCACACTTCCCACATTTGCCCCCCATTTTCTGGGGGATCGACGATTCGTTGCGTCTGTGTGTGTGGGTGTCCTTGTTCCTTCCTTAGAGTGGCCCCGGGTAAGAGTGACCTTTGGCGCGCGGCTTTTCGGGGGCCGCGCAGGAGGCCAAACAGAGGCGCGCGAGTCGCGCCAGTGCTGCCTCGCGTTGGCCGAGCGGGGGGCCCCAGTGGGCCCGCATCAAAGGTCACTCCGACGAAGGGTCACTCTTATGTGTAGTCGATCTTCTTGAGCAGGGACCGATCGTCCCGGCAGTCCTATAGGCCCACTACGACATGTTCTTAGAACCCCAAACATGTTCTGAGAACAGAAACCATGTTCTTAGAACAGAAGCCCGATGCGTTAAGACAAGGCAGTCCCAGCCAGAAGTGTTCTAAGAACACTTCGTGGCAGCCGCAGAAAAGGTTCTTCGACCATTGTTTGGTAGGCCTGGAGGCACGCCAGGACGCTTCGCCACTGCTTGCTCTTCGGGCTTCCCTCGCCTTGCACCGTCCGCGCCTTCCGCGCGGAAGGCGCCGCCGCGATGCGGTCGCGGCGAGGCGGTGGCTCGACAGTGGCCGCCGCGGCACCGGCCGCGCGGGAGGTGCGGAAGGCGCAGGTCGAGGGTTCCTGGAGGCTCCTGGTCGCCACGGCTGGAGCCGCCCGGAAGACCGGGCAGGATGGAGCTCGGGGTCCAGGGCTGGGTTTTGAGCGGATCTGCTCGCCCTGGTCTCGCGCCCTTGTCTCAGATGAGGCACAAGCGGCCCTTCAAGGGCGAGGAAGAGACAACCACAACCGCTGGGCTCAAGGAATCGTCGCCCCCAGCGCCCACCAAATGAAGGGGCCCAGGGACACACAAATTTACACACACACTAACCTCAAGATGCGCCATATTTCGTAACATGTTCCTAGGTTTCGTCTTCCCTCCCACTTCCCATATTTTCTTACATTTTCCAGGTAACGACGATCAATTGTGTCTCTGTGTGTGTGTGTGTGTTTGTTTTTCCCTCCTGATCATCGGCCGACCCCCGACCCCCCAGTGGTCATGACCTGCGCGCCGCGCTCGATCTCGAGTGCTAGGCGCGCAGGCCGCCCACCGCTGCTGCAAGGTCGGGGCCAACTTCGGCGGGTGCCAGGGGCGATTCCCTCAGCCAAGCGGTTGCAGGTGCCCCTTCCTCGCTCATATAAGCGACGGAAAACTCCTCCTCCTCCTCCTCCTCCTCCTCCTCCTCCTCCTAGCTGCCGTTGTGGCTGATGCAACAGGGCAGCTTACACATCCTGACCTCCAGGTTCCCCTTTATTGAACCTCAGGCCAACTGGTTGGACGGAATGATGGTGCAGGCGCAATGAGTCGCTTGAATGTGCTGTTCTTCCTGTCCTTCATGCCTCTCTGGCGTACCCTTCAGAGCAAAGTTGGCCCTACGTGGAAATTTGTGCAGTATAATCCTCTAGCATGTACACGAGCTGATAGAATATCGGATGTGAGTGAATCTTTTCGTGACGTCGAAGCTATTGCCCTGACGGGAACACAATTGCGTGCCAAAGAATTGGATATTCAACGAAGAATAGTCAATGGGAGAATTCTTATTGAAGCTGGGTGGCAGCGAGGTCCGTGCTCGAACCGATCGTGTGGCGTCTCAGTGTTGTTGCATCGCAGATTCAGAGAAGAACATATCAGAGCTGTCCGAGGCGGGCCTCCTGGCATGTTGGGAAGATGTTTGGCGGTGAGAGTCAGAACGAGGAGCGAGGATTTCACGGTGCTGGCTTTGTATTTCCCGCCGAGAGTGACGGAGACCAAGAAGCAGGGACTCTACAAGCGTACGGTACGTGGTCTTTTACAGTGGTTATCCAAGGAATTGGCTTCCTGTCCGACACGGTCGGTACCGATAGTGATGTGTGACTTGAATGACGGCATGGGTTTGACGAAGGACTCGGATCAGGAGAGCGTGAACCCAGATGTAATCAAGACAGAGGGGGCCAGCCTGGAACATTTTGCAGGAGCGGCTTTCAGAGCAGTACTCGAAGCGCAGTTCATGACGGCGGCCTCTACGTTGAGTGGCCTGCCCACGTTCTACGGCACCGACCACAACTCGATCATAGATTACGTGTGCGTGCCGACGGCCATGATGCAGGCAGTACGTGTGGCGGGGCCGCTCGTGGGCAAAGGCAGAGCTCTGCAACTGATAAACGTAGCAGCCAAGAGAGATCATTTGCCAGTGCTGGTTGAGGTAGTGAGGCCTCTTTTTTCGCGAGAGATTATCACAGCCGCCAGTGCCCCACCGGCGCTAGGCAAGCAGCGTTTGCATCCTGATGCGATGATGGCTGCGTTGAGGGGGGGGGTGGGACTGAGGGACTTCTTGGACGGGGTGGAGGAGGCGATGGAGCGAACGCAGGCTGAGTGGACCCTTCTGGCCGCTCAGCCGCAGCCTGATCACTTGTTTCAATTCCTAGAGCAGGTGCTGTATGAGACAGCGGCACCTCTCTTTTCAAGAACCTCACAGAGTGTTGCAGGTAGAGCGGACAATGAGAGAGAGCGTTCGCAGCTGCTTGTGCGTAGAAGAGAGCTCCGAAGGACTCTTGGTGGGGCCCCATCGGAGCAGGTGAATGAGATTTCGGATAGGCTCCGTCTCTTGACTAAGCAGTTGAGAGGACTAGCAAAAGCCGCATTTAAGCTGAAGCAGGAAGAGCACATGGAGGCCATGAGAGAGTCATGGAGAGTGCGCAACATCCATCGTGCTTTTTTTCATGCGAGGGCTGCAGCGGGTGTCCGCATGGGACCAAAAAAGCGTAAGTTTTTAGAGATCAGGACCGCCCTGCCCACGCGGAAGGAGCAGTTAGATTTTTGGGCTTTGCCTGGACCTGAGGGGGGGATGGCGGCTCGCGAGGTGGGGGAGTGGGAAGGATTGCCACCAGTCTGCTCTGCGGTCCCGTATGACGCGCAGGTTTTTGAGCAGGCGGGTGAAGACATGAAGAGAGTGCGTAGGCAGCTGCGTAAGGTCCAGAAGCGTAGGGTGACCCCGCAATGGTCGTCGCCAGTGGAGCTGTGGGACATGGCTTTGAATCCTGGGGCGGGCATCCCGTCAAAAAAGCAGGTTGCTGGAGTTGGAGCTCCTGACCCGTCCCGCCCCACGGTACTATTTACAAAAGCTGTTCATCTAGGCATGTGGCGCATACGCACAGCACAGAGCACACCTAGATTCTGGCACTGTAGTCAGGCTGGAGGCCTGAGGAAGTCTGAGGCCGAGGGACCTGCGGGGAAGCGGTGGGTTCATATGTTGCCTTCGTTCGGTAAAGTGTGGTACTCGGCTATCATGTACAGAGAGAATATGGATCCTGATGTGCACGGGTACCAGCCTGGCAGAAGTAAGGAGACACCCATGTTGGTCTCATCGATCCTGGCATGGAGAGCGCAGCGAGAGAATAGGTCTTTTTGCAGGCAGTATTTTGATGCAACCAACGCTTTTGGAAGTATAGCACAAAGACGTTTAAAAGCTGCTGTGGTCTCGCTTTTTGACTGGCAAGCGGTCCCGATGGGGCTGCAGAGGGTGGAGAGGGCCACCATTTCTGTTCCGTGTGAATTCGGGTCCGTGCTTTTGCGGCCTGGATGTGGAGGGATGATGGGGGACCCGTTCATGGTGGCGGCGTGGGTGAGGGCTTTCCAACCAGTGGTAAGAATATGGCGCGAGCTGATGGCCGCAGCTGGTGTGACAGACACGAGCTTGGTGGCGTCTAGCCCGTGCGACCCAGAGCCAATCGATCTCACGTTATGCCAGTATGCTGATGACCTTGAGCTTTCTCACCTTGGAAGGGCTGGCGAAAGAGCGGCCCCTTTGCTAGCAAGAGTTCAGGAGGCGTCAGACTTGCTGACGCAGGCTTTAGCAGATAGTAACTGTGCTCAGAATACTAAGAAGCAGACCTGTCTTATTAATTTGTCTGGCCCTGGGTCCCATCTGGATTTGAGAGATATGCGCATGGGTAGGTTGAAGACTTCTGGCACAATATGCCACCAGATTAGGTATTTAGGAGGGCAATTTGTAGCTGACCCTAGATTGGCGCAGTCTTTTGCTCCGGAGCTGAGGGCCCGAAAAGCGGCTATATATAAAACTTTTTATTATCTAGGGAGTTTTTGGTTCCTGAAGGGTGTACCGTATCGTTTGAAGCGATCGATGTTTTTGTCTTTTATAATAGGCACGGCAGCACAGAACATGGAGGCGTATATCCCGTCGGATAGGCAACTAGCTGAATTACAGAACGTTCTAGATCAACTGGCGCGTAAGGCAATGAGAGGAGGAGCTCATACTGAACAAGAGGGAGTGCATAGAGCATGGTCTAACGAACGTGTACGTAAGTACTGGCGCTTGTGTTCGCTGGAGGTAGAGCTGCGAGTGCGGCGCCTGAAGAGACTGCAGGCGATCGCACGACGTCCTGAGAGACACCGGCAGTGGCTTGCAGCACACTTCGGAAAAATGAATTGGGAGGGTGGGACTACTATGGACGAATTCGGGCTCTTGAGTACGACGGCGAATCCGTGGGCGGTGCGTGTACTGGAGGATGTCAAGACCCTGAGTACGGTGGAGGATGCAGAATGGTTTCTCTCGGAGATGGGGGACTACATAGTGGACATATTTTGTGAAACTGAGGTACGGAAAGATTTTGTGAAGGTGGATGTGGGCCTCCTTCGGGCCCAGGATGTGCAAAAACCGTACAAGGAGGGAGGTCTTGGGAAGCATAGTCGACGAGAGGGGGGAGATGGGCTGTGGAAGTGTTTTTTTGAAGATAATGGTGTATGTTGTCCTGCGGCGTTCGAGTCGAGTCGAGCATTATCCACACACATACAACGTGTACATCATAGAACGGATGTGTATGCATCGATTGTGGTGACAAATCAATGCCCATATTGCGCTGAGATTTTTTCGAGTCATCAAGCGGCGTACAGACATGTTATTGCAAAGCGGGCTTATCCTGATCGGGTGTCAAGATGTAGATATCTGGGTGCTGTTATTGAACCGAAGTCATTGGATTGTCCGTTATGTGAGTATTCGGCTCAAACTCTTGCCGATCTGCATCGCCACATTGTTGAACACGCACCAGCGCATACTCATGCCGCTCGAGGATCCGAAGTGGGCTCTCAAACGAAGTGCCGACTCGCAGGGAGGAGCAGACAGAAAGAAGCTGCTCACGCAGATCGGGAGCGAGGCGGGCGGCGGAGGTTCCAAGCAGGCGGTGCTGGAGCGAATGATGAAAGTGCTCGCCGCCCTCGCCCTCACTCAAGCCGCGGAGCTGCGAGACTTGATTGCGGCGGTCTATTTCACCTTCCTCATCCCGTCAGACGCAAGCATCGCGGTCGCCATGAAGAAGGCGGGCCAAGATTATCATGCCCAGGCCAAGCTGCTGAAGACAGGAGGCGGAGGAGGCCACGATATCCTAGGGCCACCGTTCCTGCACGTCTTCAAGGCGCTGCTGCAGGCGGCGCACGAGGTGACGGGTCTCACTGGCCAGCATCGCGAGATGATCGCAGAGTTCTGGGCCAACAAAGTACTGAAGGAGGAGCTGTTCGCGTTGGCGGAGCAGATCCGCCACTGCAGGATCCGAGACACCCGCAAGAAGGAGAATGCCAAGGACATGATGAGGATCACGATTTGTTTTTCGAGTCAGTGGAAAGACCTGGAGGTGGCGGTGGTATCAGCCATCAAGAAGGAGAACGGGGTGTTGAAGATAGGCCCGCCCCCGCGCGGGCCGTTGGAGAGGGAGGCATCCAAGCTGTTAGACGAGCTGAACAACATGAGCTGAGGAGTTCGAGGAGAGAACGCATAGGGTCTGAGGAGAGTGAACTTAGGCGCCTGGCTAGGCGCCTCGAAATTTTTTCTGTTCGCATGGCGGACCTTCTTTTAAGAGGAGTGATCTCTCCAGGTGCTGCACTCTCTTTTCTGCGTGCTCAGGAAGGCCGATTTAGGCCACCGAGTATTCATGAGAAAGGGAAGGGTCGGGGTACGGCGGGGAGGTCGGGGGGAGGGAGTAGCTCTGTGTGACTAGCGGCTTGTGCCATCAGGCCCACGGGTGGCCATCCACAAGCCGTGGCGCTTGCAGGCCAGTCTCGGGCCTCCCCGAGCAGTGCGCCTGCTGCCATCATCCAGTTGGCACTATTAGTGTGCCTCGCCGACGCCTTGATTTTGAGGCAGAGAGACACTTGGCGTCAAGGGCGGTCTTATCTTATCTTATCTTATCCTCCTCCTCCTCCTCCTCCTCCTCCTTACGCCGCAGCTCACGCGGGCCGCCAGCGCGGCACGCCACGCTGGAGACGAAAGGTGCTCGCGCGCGACCGTACGCGGGCAGCTTGAGCGCCAATATCGTCGAGGAGCACCCCGTTTTTGCGCCGCTCGTATG